GATACAAGTATGCAGATGATGTCATCATAGGAGGTATAGCTCCAATCGTTGACACATCTACTCTTCAAAATAGTCTGGATGAGTTTGTACTGTAGTCATTGATCCGGACTCTCATTTGAAACATTTCTAGATAACGTGATGTAAGATTTTCTTTTCTTTGGGTTGATCAGCTGCAAGTTATTTCGAATGTCACTTCCTCACTGGAAGTGAGTGATCATCGTATACCCAAGACATCAACTGTCAAATATCCTGGAGTATTTTGCTTCCAAAACCTAAAACGTTTGACATGGTTAGAAAGCTATTTTTGTTTGACGTCAGACCAAGAAAGATTTCCATACATAGTAAGTTGATTTTTACATATGTAACTGCATATATACTGCCTTACTGGCTTTACTGTTTTCCAGTGATTTTTTCTGGTCTACTAAAAAAGATTGCACAGTGTTCTAACGTTCGTTAAAATTTATTGCCAAATGTAGTGGATTGATTAGAAAGGCACTCGTTGATTTTATTGTCAGCAAGCATGTGGACGCTGGTACTAGCTTTTGATTCAAAGTTCACGACGACACCTTTCATCCACTGCATGGAGTGCTGTCTAAAGCGCTATCTGTTTCTTCTACACGCTCCCATTCAGAGGCTTATTTTCTCGTATGGCTTCGCACCGCAATTCTATTTTACAGTAATTGTCACGATTACTTGTGGACACAACGAAATTCAGTAGCATGATGCGCAGTTGTTTGCTCGAGTGATGCACAAACATTTTGCATTATCCAATTTATTTGTTTTTGTCTATTAAAGCTCATGTACTTATTCATTTACAGTGATAGTATAAAAAAGCTGAAAATGTATTTGCCCAGATGCATAAAGACTATTTTGACTTGATTTGACTTGAACAGTCCTTATCGGCCATTATCTCGCCTGTTGTAACTTCCCTGTTCGACAGGTCTAGGTCCGAAGGTACATTGTTGATTGATTGGAAATGCTCAGTGGTAATGCCGGTTCCGAAAGGCTTTGACCACAACAAAGTAGACAATCACAGGACAATTTGTTTGACACATATTTTGGCAAAGATTGCAACGAAAACTTTGAAGAAACGTTTGCTATAACTGTTCTGGTGAAAACATCTTCTGACGCTCGCACAGCACAGTTTCATGCTAAGTCGTTCATGTATCACCAACCTGCTCGTGATGAAGCGCGAACGGTTGCAAGCATGGAACCAGGGGAAGTCTGTCTACATGCTCTTTATTGATTTCAGCAAAGAGTTCGACAAGGTGAACCATGAAGACCTCCTTCTCGAGTTGAGATTGCGCGGTGTTTGTGAATCTCTGCACCGATGGATCCAGGACTTTCTCGTTAGACAAAAGTGGAGGGTACAAGTTGATAGCCACCTGCCCGACTGGTATCCTTCGGCCAGTGGCGTACCCCAAAGCACGGTCTCGTTGCCTACATTGTCCTGATTTATATCAATCTACTACCTCAGCTTCTTCGGTCACCATATGCCCTGTTTGTAGACGATCTACAGTATCGAGAGTGAGATTTCCGACGACTGCGGCTTACTTCAACAAGACCTAAACCGTCTTTCCGTGGTATACAATAGTCCGCCTCCCGGTCAACCCATCCAAGTCGGAATTAATGAGCATGGAGAACGGTGGTGACATCCGAACCTACACGCCCGAAGACCAAATGCTACATCCCTCCACCTAGCGTGAATGACCTAGGAGTACTCTCACTCGACTTGAAGTCCGTTGATTACACGAGCTGTCCATATCGCAACGGACTGCGCACGCTCTGGGCACTCAAACAAAGTTTCTGCATCTGGCCTGAAGAAGTTGATACTCGTCTGTTTTCCGTCACGCAAAAATGCTACAGTACGGCTCGCCTGCCTTTTGCCCGACCACTTCCGGCTGGGCGCAGAAGCTTAAACGATTTCAGCACGTCGCTACCAGCACCATCCCCAGTTTGCGAGGCTTGCCGTACGAAGACAGTGCGAGAGGCTAAGACTGCATATTTTGGCCTATTGTCGGTTGCGATTGGCCTCAGCATGACCTAAGGGATTCTAAATGTATTCGAATTCTTCATGCTAAGGCCACTGCTCCACTTGCAAACGTCTTGCAGTAAACCTGGTCACCACCATATGCTATGGTTCCAGATCTGAAGATAGTTCCCCATCCCTTATGCTTGGAACGGCCAGTGGCAAGTGTCTGGAACGGTTTGCTGGACCATGTATTGAAAGCGAACTCAGTACAGCAGTTCAACCGATGTACATTTATTAAATATTAGATTCCGAGAACGAGTACCCACAGACATCTCAAATTTTTGCGTCCTAATCTACTGTGTGTTAAACGACTTTTGTTTAAGATACCACGTGAGAATGTAAACAACGATCGTAGCGATGACAAAGCATAGGTTGTTTCATTTTAACCTTTTGCTCATACTTCGATGGGGTTGTACGAATTCAACTGCGTACTTGCTGCTACCATACAGTATTCAGTATCATCTTCATACTAGTTCACACATAGCTGACACAGTAGCTTTAGGGTATGTAGCTGCTTGATAAGCTCAAGAAATGTGGATTAATAAACTACCACAACGAAACTAGGATGATGTCACCTAGAGTAGTGCATTAAACGTTCGCAACAAAGTTACCGAGATCAGCGAACAGTCCTACCACCAAGTACACAACCTGAGCTACCAATATTTACTTCTGTGTCAGAGTAACTGATGGTTCTGCGCTCCACAGCGGCCTATGCGTTTTTCATTTGAAGACACTAGTTCAACAATACTTCAATCTGGGTCCTAGCAGTCTGAGTCGCTGCTAACGTCCATGTCTTCTTGACTAGGCTGGATCTGAACTCAGTGCGATAATTATATATATACGTGTTTCACTGAAGCTTGCTAACTGTGACCGTCAACACGTCTTCAACCACGGCAGCTTATGGTTAGAGTTCAACCGAACCGAGTATCAGCATCCACCGGATTTAAAGCGGAAGATAGACAGTCGGTCTTCTCCATCGAAATACCTCAATGGAAACTAGCAGCCATCCCAATCCGAGTAGTGCAGAAGTTGAACATCACGGGTTATCTTTGACGTAGAAAAGCACAATTACTGATCAAGATATTTAGCCGGGGCACCAAAACAAACATATCATGACTAATGCAGTGCAACTTTGCCAAATTCCGACTGAGATTGATCGCGGACACGAGCATACCAGATGATGAGGTGGAAAACATGCTGACTCTGTTATACTCCATTAGGTCATTGGTATAGTCTTAATCACATCCATGCTACGCATTACCATGTGTCCATGACTACCGAGTCCAAAGCACTGGAGTTAAACCGATAGGTGCCCACCTTCCTAGTGTAGCAGCTTTCTAAGTCAAATGTTGGAAGCAGCATGTCCATGAAGGTCTCACTCTAGAATACAGAAGCCGAGCGCTGTCACGTACCCACGAGACCACAGGACAGGAATTCTTCTGCATTTTCCTCCTCTCAGCTGTCCTGCTTCCTTTTAATTTAGTTGACAAGAAACAGCCCGCTGCATTGCAACTAACGTTAACTTTTTCTATTTTACTCTAAGTCGTATGACGGTGGTGTTTCATGCCAAAGTGGCCAGCAAGCAGCCTTAACTCTCCCCCTGCGTTCTGTTGGACTTGCTACGTAATGTGATCCCGGACAGGTATACGTGATAACTCTAAACCATCTGCTACCAGATTCGGGATTTAGTGATGATGGTTGTTGTCTTCGCGTCGCTGATAATGCGGCGTCAAAAATTCTGATTGTTTACGGTGTTGGTAGAATTAAAGAAAGGGATCTACTCGACAAAGGACCTATTGACCGATCGCATCAGTATATCCGCCTACGGAACGATTGGGTGACGGAAACAATGTGGTCCCGGCAACGCGGTTCTCGAATTCAGCTGGTATCTTTTCCATTCTCCCATTTCTATGAAATTCTCAGTTCGACTCTTACAATTCTTAAATTTTGTTCTTACCATACAGAGAGGAATAGGCATTAGGTTTAGTGCATGGGGGACTACTAAGCTCTGTTAAGGAAAAGCAGAACCCACTAGCTCTTGTGTGGCCGTTTGAGTTTACATTGGCTTTCCATAAACTGAAAGACATAGAGTAGATTAAACGGGGAATCGTTGCCAGTGGTTCCCAGATTATGATAACACTAGTACAGTTGTTGGGGTTTTGGGGCGACTGAGCGTAAGTGCAACATGTGGATCGGGACTTGTGGGACAGGGCCGCGAAAATTCATGATGAAGAGTGGAACTATTAAGGATGTCTGAGAGTGGGTGTATTGCGCTTTACTACTGTTGACTTTATGAGCTCAACATACAAGAAAGACTGTAGCAGCAGGAATGATACCCTTGTCTGTCACGTGCAAATTTATTACAACTCGAGGGTGCATAATTTATTCTTGTTCTACGGCGCTCCACCTAACTTCCATATTCGTTCGCATCCGTTCGTTATTATTATTATTATTACTTTATTATTATTATTATTATTATTATTATTATTATTATTATTATTATTTTCGTTATGCATCGGTCCGATGACTGCTTCTAGCCCACACAAATAAAGTTCGCTGCGTTTGACCTTGTTCATACGCTCAAATCCTCACGCGATTTCGCGCCCCCCTTCTACACAGACGTTTGCTCACCCTTCAAGGTCATGCGTATCTCCTCACAGTAACTTAACTAGTCTCGTTAGTTCGTAACGTAACTATACACCATAGGTTGGAATAGCGACTTTTCGACTCGATCCAGAAGCTACGAGAAACTAACCTTGAACACAGCGTATTCAACCCATGTTACAGAATGAACACCTTATTTACATATGGATTGACATCCGTCTCCCGCGGTTTTCCATCGTGAGAATATGTCTACTACTTTTAAGGATTGATAACCCAGCAGACAGATGAAGGCGTAAACTAATTGAAGATGACTAGTAACATAGCTGCATGACAAGGCCTGCTTTCGAACAAAATTAGTACTCACGAAAATGGCCCGTGTTTAACATACCGCTTCCGTTCTCAAATGAGTCCAACGATAGCGGTCTTCGAATTTTCGTACCAAATGCCGGGGTAAACAATTCTGCATCCTCAATATTGTTCACGGAACGGGAAAACTCCGAAAACGGACTGAAAAGGCACTCTGTTCAATATTCAGGTTTAGTTAAACGTGAAAAAGACAATTTCTGTTCTAAAAATTGGGGCCCACAAATGAGGTATGTGAATTCTCCAGCAAAGTCGTTCTCAAACACTGACTTCTGCATTAATAAAACAGGGAGTTAGAAGATCTCCGTGTGGAGTATGGATTGTCTAATTACTTACACGTTTAATCCGGCTTCATTGGCTCAGAAAATAGGAGGCACTGCAACTAAACTGACATTTGCTTGAACATAACGAGGTTTAAGTCGAATTATTGAATACACCAAAGTTCATCTGGCCCCGTCGCATGACCACATAATGTGCTGTTCCTTTAGATTCTATGTACAGTAACAGCGACGACTGTTTCAGACCTAGTTTGCAGTCGCAAAAACAATTGACATAATTAGTGAAGCCTTACTGAAACGGCAGGATGTGTCATCTAACGAGTAACGCCCGGAAAATCGACGAAACAAGGGACTATTTTTTGTCTCTGTTTGATTACAAATAGCAGGCGAAGGAGGTTCAACCTTGTTGACTGAACCACTCGAAACACTGTTAAATAAAACGGAGTTCATAATGACATCAGCGTAGCCTTAGGTGAAGTAACCATAGCTGTTATAGCTCCGGTATGAAGTGCAGCCGAAAAGGATTGATTCCACTGAGCAAGGTTTGCATTTTCCCTTGTGGTTGGTGTAGGGATAATGTATGCTTAAGGAAACGAGAGAGGTTGCAAGGATAGCTGCTAGTTCAGATGGATCGCAAGTAAGTGATCAACATGTTTACACTGAGTAAATATCACCTAAGTCTCCGTCTAGAGGTTACTCAGTATTTCAGCTGTCCTCTACTGCACCCATGCTGCCTGATAACACGTAGGCGTTTGTCCGATAAGTTGCCAGATATTTATGTAATGCTGGTGACAAATCTCATTTGAAAAGTATTTTCTCTTCCTGAACTTTGTGTGCCATTGTTTTTATACACTGTTAGTAGATACTAACAAGTGCAGTTCACTTCTGTATTCGATTAGCAATCAGCACCTAAGTCGAGTGTTAGTCGACTGTTAAGCAATTACTTCTTTCCTCGCCATAAACTGTCGTTTCATGGCTTTTGAAACCACGTCACTCTAAATATCCGTATATTCGGTAAGGGTGACGCGGTTGGGGTCTTCCGTGTCCGAAAGTTGTGTCGCAATGCTTAAGCAAACCGCAGGAAGCAACCGCTTGCCGAGAGACTATGAATGACTGCACACAGGCTCTTCCGCACACATCCAGTTTAAACCGGAAGCATTATAATTGATGGGCATGAGAGAGGAAGCCATGACCGGTTCGGAGCCAGCTGACACTCCTTCAATATGCAAATCATCGGTGTTCACTGAGGGATTATTTACACAAAGGATGATGATTGGGCAATAGCCCACTTCATGATGTAACTAGCCTGTTGCATCGAAACTACTAAGGGGGTGGTGTGCAGTCGCCTCTGAAAGCAGAGGTCAGATTTTGAAACAATTTGACATAGTGGTGGTATCTGATGGACAGTCAGTATGTCACCATCAAAGCCAGACTCGACCAGACATAAGGTATCTCGGAACCCAGCAGCGGCGCGAGAATGTCGCACCATTGACTAAACCTAGAAGGTCGAAAAAGCTGCCCGGTGCTCTTCCAGGTTTGTCGAAATCTGCTGCGCGAACCACCTTGTGAAATTATTCCGAAAGAATAGACTCTAAACATGCGACAAAACCCACTCATTAGAAAAAGAGTGGCTGGTTACAACGATAATGTACCACATTTACCATATGTATCGATGCAAATTTTCCCACAAATTTACCCACACCCCTATATACATACATAGATATGTAATTTTATTCTTTCCTCAATCACCACTTTAGTAGAGAACAGACTCACTCATTGGTTGCGACCTTGCTGCTTTGATGGTCCTCCACTCTGTCCATGCCAGGTGCTGTGTGCGGGCGCTGTTTCAACCGCCCACTCTTTTGACTGGCCGATGAGTCTAGTTCCTTTGCCTCAGAATGATCCGACTGAAACATAGTGAAACCAATAATGGCTGCCAAGCTATCCTTAACAATTTGCATGATGGCTGTGGATATGTTTTCTAACATACGCCCAAAGTAAGCACAGGTGCACTACTAATATCGCGGTACAGTTACAATGCCACTGACCATATTCTACTGCGCCAAAGCAACCGCAAACATACATACATACATACATTGAGTTTTACTTCTGGATTTTGTGAGTAGTGTAATTTTCGTAGAAATTAGAAGCCACGATTAAACTTCGCACAATAATTACCTCGACGGGGAAGCGAACCCCGGACCCACGGATTACTGGTCCGCTGCTCTTCCACTGAGCTACCGAGGGCTGACGATCAGGTGCGCAAGTTAATACATGACTTCTGCTTGGTTCAAGGCGCATTACTAATGAGCTTACAGTATCTGTCATGGTGTTGGAGCTTGGCTCACTCGCTCGTCACTTCCCAATTAACCGAAGTATCTGTCTTTCTGATGTTCAAAGGGCGATAGTAGATTACTTGTGGATTTTTGCAGCTCCACTTTTAGTAAACTCCGTGATGATTCAATTCTATTATTGCCATCTGACACAATTCAATAATAGCAATACCTGTCCAGAGGTCCGAACTGCTCGCCAGTTACGGCGGCATCTAAATGTAAAAGTCTGACGGCCCATCCAGCGCTTCGCAAATTGGAATAAACGTGGTGATATTCAATCGGCTGTGATGCCGATACTCGCTAGGCTCCACAGGCCCCACAAGGGTCACTCAATTCAGTGATATGTCTAAGAACTGTGATTCCCCTGATACACCAATGTTGGGTTGTCATGCGACAGGAAATCAAGCGCTTCATGGTACTAAGCTGTGTTACTTAGTACAGAAATCTAATGTACGCATCTGAATTAGGTTGACTGAAATCGACCGGAGCCAGATTCGATCACACTTAACATCAGCCAATCAAATGACCATATTTTTGCCGAAGCTGTCGTCGCTGTAGAGCAAGGCGCTGTTAAACTCCAGAGCAACGATATGGCTCCACATGTTCCCATTTCAAATGCAGAGGTAGTTTTGACTAGTTCACCGACAACATTTGCTCACTTTCTCTAACTAGGTTGAATTGCTTGGTTTAGATAAATTTGGTTTCTCGTAAGCACCTCAGTCGGCATGCGTGGATGACAGCGATGCTGGAGAACTCGGATCAGCCACTTGATTCCCTACCTGAAGCAGCGTGTGTATCTACTTCGTTCGGAAATTACATTTACGATCCACTCACTTCTGCTCTTAGGGCACTACGTGTGAATTCAGACTGCGGGGTTCAATTCGATTTGCGTACATAATTTAGCCTGCAACAATAAGCTGTAATTTCGCACACTCGGATCAGATCTAAATACAAATAGTTCCAGTATTGTGCTATCTTATAATGGCCTTCCAAAACCGATTTCATTGAATATCAACTTTTGGTATTCATAACTGCTTACGGGAACCAAATGTCAAAAACCTCGTTTACGACATTGACGGTCGAAGTAAATGACGTCCAGGTTAATCGAAACGCAATAGAATCGAGATTACTCATAAGTAGGAGGATTTAGTAGTAGTTTTAATGTATTAGTTCCAGCAGCTCACAAGCTACATACGCAACCCCAATAAGGAAGTGTGTCAGACGCGCTTTTCTTCCTGTCAAAGCTCGTTAGTGGTACTATCCCTCGGTCGCCTACTAGGGATGGAACGCATGACCGCTAGAAACTGACGCCAACTAGCCAGCAGCTTACCCCACTGAAGCACGGAGGATGGTGGTCGAGATACATAATTTGCGAGATAACTGACCTATAGCGTGTCCTGTCTTCCACTGCCACTCAGGTTCCTAACAGTGCAAATGATAGTGGCTAACCTCCGAGGTCAAGACTTTCCCTCGCCAAACACAATGTCCATAGCATTTGCAACTAGAAGGGATACGTATTATATTACTACTGAGTAGGAGGATCTGGTTTTAAGTTACCGGACTATGGATTGTGCTAAGTGGCTTGGAAGCTGCTGGGACAAATGTAATAACAATACAAAATATCCTCCTACTAAGGAGTAATATAAAATGTAGTGCTCCTAGTTGCAAATGCTATGAACCTGATGTCTAGTGAGTAGTCATGTCCTCGGAAGCTAGCCACTGTCATCTGCACTGGTAGGAATCTGCGTGACACTGGAAGATTCGTTGTACTATATCTCAGTTAGCTTGAAAATTAGGTAGCTCAGCCGCCGTCGCCCGTGGCTCAGTGTCTTTAGCTGCTGCTTGGTTTGCGTCAGCCTTTGGCGGGCATGGGTCCCGTCCTCAGCCAGACACAGAAGGATACGCAGTGATGACGAGCCCCAGCGGGGCGACTGGCGCGTCTGGTGCATTCCTGGATTAGAGGTTTGATATGTAGCTTGTGAGCTGCTGGGACGTATACATTAAAATTACATAGTAAGCTTTTTATACCACGTAACGTGTGTTCCGGACTTACTAGGAATTTCTAAATGCTCACACAATGATTGCTCCCATATCTGGTTAGCCTAGTGTCTAAGATATCTGTCGGCATTCAGAGAGCATTGAGGTTAAACCGTGGGCTTCAAAACTGGACATATAAATCAGTCATTAACCGTTGTACCATTCGTTGCTCTTCGTGACACGGTGGCTTAGGAGTAGAGGCTTCGGCTAACTTTCCAGTCGTCTCAGGTTCAACGCATGCTATCTCTACCTGGTGAGTGCAAACATGCTCTAAACCTGTCGCGGTTTGCAGTGTTTGCGAGCTGGCAACATCTATTTGTGAACCAAACGAAGGAGATTAACTTTTAAGTGAGGTTGAGCGTCATAATCCATTCTCACAAAAGTTCTTCGAACTGATCCCTCCACAAGTGTTGGCGCCGCAATCTGTACGCATGGCCAAGTTGGCATATTCAAAAACACAATCGTAGCAACGCGAAGCTATCAGCGTGTTTTCAGAATGCCGGGTGTGTGCATGGATTGTACCAAGTTTTTGTAATTCGGAGTACTCGTTCTATTCAAATATACATGGGTTATTTCCAACACCGAAATACGTATAATCCAAAGGGTTCTGATGTTTGACGCTGCTGGTCCCAAACACGGTATCCTACAATCAGTTTCATCTCAGGTTAGACATTTAAAGGAAAAATACTTGGGCTGTAGTTTAGACTGGATAAGTCGATGGATACCACAGAAAGGCAACAGGCACTTCTGACGGTGTCCATCAACACGGTTCGAAAGTAATTGTTGGATTTTTCACATACTCCGTATAACGTGAAATTTGCAACAGGACCTTAATACTACGTTGCCTATAATAATAATAGTGTAGTAATAATAACATGCTAGCTGTACGCCCTAAAGGCACTTCGCTGCCGTGCGACCACCACCAGTCGCACGCTGGCTGAGTATACCGCAAGGACGCATACCCCTACGCGGATTCGAACCTGCTCCGTAGGATTAGGAGACAAGATCTTACCTCTAGGCTCCGGGCCGAATAGTGTAGATCATATTACAGGAAATTATCGTTTGAGCAACTAACTTTTCCGTATCGTTAGTTGGAGGTTTTAAATCATTTCAGTGTAGCATGCATAGTGAGCAAGTACTAATACAATGTACCTTGAACCAACTGGATAAATCTGCATCGCCACCTCTACGTTGTTCAGCCTGAAGTTCATCGGAGAATCGCACACTACGCCTGCTATTTGTAGAAGTGGTCTTGCTGGGGTCTTCTACTGAGACAATCAGGGGATCTGTAGTTCGCTTATCTTCATTAAACCCCACACCTGCTTTTTCCGTAACGTCTGTAGAAGAATAAGCTATCCGCGCAGTACCCACCAAATGGCTCCATCAGCATATCCAGAATATTCTTCTTTGTGTTGGACTTTACCGGTTTCGCTCCAGTTGATTTCAACGAAGAGCCTATGTCTTCTTCTTCTCTCCGAGTCGTAGCATACTTGACATCGTTCGACACTGCTTTTCTTGGCAAAAGCTCTTGATCTACAAGAATAGAAAAGAAAAGATACGCGTTCCTTAATTCACCAAACTGCTGCTTTTGGAAAGCTGTGTTAAGATCTTACCCAACTGGGTGAAATCAAAATATGTTCATAGAATGGTTTTATAGAGAGTAGGAAGACACTGCCCCGAAGACTGAGTGGACCGTTGTCTATCGCCTATCTGAATAGGGTCCTCCTGATGGGCCCACCAACAGATGGCTGGAGTCTCATCAGGTGAATGAAGCGTAGTCCCAAGGTAGGAGACGGTTTGAGTTCGTTCATCTGCCTCCGTTTCATAGCCTTGTTATCAGGGGAGTTTATTCTACTCATTGTTGGTTCGCATATACCACGCTTCGTGCAACTGGACTGGGACGTGAAGAGTCAGTCTGCCATTCCATAATTGTTGAATCGAGCAACGGAAACTTCGGTCACTAGGATAATAGGTGAAACAGATACATGTTGTGAGTTATGCACTCACAATATTAGACGATACGACTGTGCCTGTTTTCACTCGTCAGGTAGGGTTAAGGTGACTGCGGTCCGAACAAGAGATACACAGGAAGTCAACTGAAGCTGGACGTCCGAGCACACTCCGCAAGGTACCAACTGGGTGGTTCGGGTCTAATCTGCTCTAGCAAATGGATAAACATTAGTGTTTCAGGACGCAGTGGGTTTTCCGTTGGCAAACATATGCCCCATACAATGACACAGACGTCTGTTTAATAACACTGAGACAAGGCGGACGTGACTCGCAAGTAGATAAAGGCACTGCTCATTCCTTAGCCGGATGATCTTACCCAACTCACAAACCTCAGTCATCTCCCTTGAAGATTCCATTTGATCAATTTTCCCAAAGACGACCTGACATAATACAGTCATAATTACAGCGGCATATCTGCGAATTCAACTAACATAGAAACATGGTTGGCGGCATCCGGTTCCGAATTTACCTGTCACTGTGGCCGTCATAGGAAAGCCACAGGACGCCTGCGCCTACAGAGGGAACATGGGTGGATTGCGCTGCACCACCCACACCTCCAACCACACCCCTCAAATCCAGTGTAAACCCGAAGGAATAAGTCCGGGAGGCATAGGGATGTGAGCCTTGTTTCATCAACGCAGCCGGCGCACACTTCTTCACAGGCAAACCCAAACATGATATATTTGGGGAATCAGTTGAACACAAGGTGGCGGCTAGACCGTAGTCCGTTCCACACTGGATGGAACCACTCACTGAGGCTAGCACGGTCACCAGGACCGTGTACATCGTCCCCTGTAGCAATTGTCCCCTGGAAGCAGTGTAGACGAAATAGTGGGTAATAGAAACTTAGGCACCTTATCAACAAACACATCAAGCGCAGCCAGACAGGGAATGTCAAGTAACAGTCATCATCATCATCATCATCATACACGTTAGCTAGAGGTGGGAAACACCTCAGCTACTGTGCAGCAATACAAAGAAAAAAGGAGAAAAAAACAACTGGTGCAAGCTGGCTGAGCTACCGGTAACGGATGGGCATTGTTCCGGTACGCTACCAGCCGGCTGCTGTGCACCCCAAAAAAATTATTATGCAAAATTATATAAGGCTAAGTAATGAGATCGTGGTTGGAGGGGGAGGCTAAGAGGGATGGGGTGGGACAAAGAAACTCACAGCACGAACGCCACTGAGGTCGGCTAATAGCCATATCAGCAAGTGTGTCCAACCAAACGTGTTCATCGTCTTTCGGACCCCAACCAGGGAGCCGAGATGCTCCAACCGAGGCCAGCTTCGAAGTGAGGGTCTTCATTCCTCTGAACCAAGTCATCGCTTGGCCACCCCTCCTCTTCTTCCATCCACACCCCCGGCGCGCAAACAACACAGGTCGCGGAAGTCGGTGGGCTGGCATGCGTAACACGTGGCCGAGCCATCGGAGCCTGATGCGTGAAATAACGGTGCTGAGCGGTTCAGTTCCTTTTCCTGTGCCATAAACAAGGCATCGAACACGCTCGTTACTCACGCGGTGTTCCCACCAAACGTGAGCTAAATTACGAAGGCACCGGTGGTCGAACGTAACTAGCCTCTTCAGGTCCGCTGCTTTAAGCGGCCAGGTTTCACAACCGTACAGTAGGGTCGAACGTACTGCTGCATTGTATACTCTACCCTTCAGGGTGAGAGTGATGTCGCGCCGGCGCCATAAGTGGCGAAGGTTAGCAAAAGCGCCCCGAGCTTTTGCTATACGATTCGTGATTTCATCTTCAATCCCACGGGCGCTGATACAACTTCCCAGGTAGTTGAATTTTTGAACGACTTCTAGCTGATCCCCACCAAGGGTCAGCATAGGAGGCGGTCCAGACCAATCTTGGAGAAACGCTTTGCAATTCGAGGGTGCGAAGCAAAGCCCGAAGTGACAGACAGCTAGTGCTAATCTGTCCAGTGCCGCTTGGCACGTTTGTGAGCTGTCACAGATTAGGGCAATATCATCAGCATACTCTAAATCAAGAAGTCGTTCTCCTGGGAGTAGTTCCACACCTTCCAAGTCGTGTCCTGTGAACGCGATTTCCATGACTTCGTCAACAGCGAAGTTGAAGAGGAAAGGTGACAGCGGGCATCCTTGTCTCACGCCGCTGGAGATATTAAAGGGCGACGACAACTTGCCGTAAGCCCACACTCTGCCCGAGCTACGAGCGTATAATGCTCGGATAATATTCACATATTTCTCAGATACACCTTTCCTGAGTAGACAGTCCCAAAGTGCATGTCTATCCACCGAATCGAATGCACCTTTGATATCGAGGAACACGACTACGGTGGGCCGCCAATATATGTGACCGTGCTCCAACAACTGACGCAAGGTGAAGATGTGGTCAATGCAGCTACGATCTCGACGAAATCCAGCTTGCTCTTCACGAATCTGGCTTTCACGAGTGCCAGTCAGTCTGTGAAGGATGACAGAGGCAAGCAATTTGGAGACGATGGAGATCAGACTGATTCCTCTATGGCTGCCGCATTCCGATCGTGAGCCTCCCTTGAAAATTGGGACTATGATGGAACGGCTCCAATCGGTTGGGACAGTTTCCTGCTCCCACAGTCTCACTAGTAACTCGTGTAAATCATCCACAAGAGCAGGTCCCCCAATTATGAAAAGGGCTGGAGGAAGGTCATCAGGTCCCGCGGCTTTATTTAACTTCAACAGTTTGATTTCATGTTCGACTTATGAGCGAGAGGGTGGATCCAAAGGAACAGCCCAAGGAGCAGGGCGATCACGGGTCGGCGAGAAATCTAACAGTTCCGACCGATTAAATTGCCTTTCAAAGTGCTCAGCCCAACGTTCCAGGCGTTTTGATAAATTGTGGATGGGCTGTCCACTCTCGTCACGTATAGTTTCACTAACACCAGGTCTCCTGCTGCCCGTTTCCCGTATAAGATGGAATAACTCACGATGGTTACCAAGGGCAGCGGCCATTTCCATCTCTGTTGCACGATGAGACCACCAGGATTCGCGGTCTCTCTTCAAGCTAGCACGGAGTTTTGCCCGGAGCTCTTTGCGAGTTTCATTGTGTTCGCTTCCAGCCGGAATATGCCGGCGAGCATCTATAAGTTCCAGAGACTGTGAAGAGACCCAATGTTCATGTTGGCCATTAGACATACCACATGAGGATTTTCCTGCTGCTAGTAAGGCCTGTTGAATATGAGACCAGTGAGCTTCAATTGCATCCAGTGAGCGTTTATCCAACTCGGATGACAGCGTAATTTGATAGGCGTTCAGAACGGCTGGATTCACCAGTCTGCCGGTGTCAATGCGCTCACAACATCGTCGCGGGCGTCCGCCAAAGCGCATCCGCAGGTCAGCACATACAAGTGCATGATCGGTGTCAACACCTGTGCTCCAAATCGAGCGACAGTTCTGGACGCAGCCTCTCCAGCGGTAACTGATAGCAATGTGATCGATTTGCGTCCATAGCTGGTTCGAGGCTGGTGGGCGCCAAGTCACCCTCTGGCGGGTGCTGTGTCGGAAATTAGTGCTCGCAAGAAATAAGCGAGCATCCTCACACAAATGAAGTAACCGCTCACCGTTATCATTACGGGAGACTATACCATGTTGGCCGCCCAGATGCAGCTCATCTGCGGATAATTTTCCAACTTGAGCGTTCAGATCCCCAGCCAGCACTACAGTGTCCGAGCTTCTTCTGTGGCGAAGGAGTTCGTTCAGTTGGCGATAGAAGTCGTCTTTTACCGAGTCATCGCTACAGTTTGTCGGTGCATAGGCAGCGAAAACGATATTATCATGTAAAATATATCGAATAAAGCATAGAGATATACCGACATAACTCCTCACTAAATGCGTATATAATATAAATTCGTTATCAACATAACCGAGAAAATATCAAGTGGGTAGAAAAAGAAAGCAAAAAAAACAGGCAAAAGGTGCAAATAAAATTAGTGAAATTAAACCATTTGCGTTTAAGCTACGTGTGTAAGTAAATGGAGCATTACCGTTAAACATTAAATGAAGGTAACAAAGTAAGTATTGACAAAATATAGCAAACCGATCACCTGAAATAAAAGAACAGCGCGTAAACACATGGTTAGTAAATTGAATGCAGCATACCTACCAATGCTGAGCCGGTTCTGCTTATGTTCTCAGTAGCATCCGTCATCTTTTTGATGCTGGTCCCGAGTGGCCTCGCTCTTTGCTCAGCACGCTAGAAGGACTCAGGCACTTGCGACTGCATACGCTACAGCACCATGCGCTCGACGTCGATAGAGTAGGCCCCATCGGCGACTGTCGCTTCAGCACCTGCTTCTTCTTTTCCGCGTGCGAGAGGGCTTTCTCGTGCCCCACGATATCTGTCAAGTTTGTATTGCTAGACTTCATAATAAAAGTTGGCTGCTGATTTTACTCTTTTCAAATGTTCTGCTCTTTATTTCTAGGTGGAAGAAATGAACCAAGCAACGTCATGGCAAACAAGATGTTAGATTTCGATGCAGGATCAACCCTTTGAACTAGGGTTCCACCAGTTGAACTTGATGACAGCAATCTCAATGATAGCGGTGACAGCTAAGCAGACTACATTTCTACACCGTTTCCACCGCCTGATGATAGAAGCAGCAGCAATTTTAGCACGGATGAAGAGAGCGAAATCGATGAACTGCGCAGCAACAATCACCATGCTGCACCAGTTACGCTCCTGCCGGAAGGCTACCGGCTGCTACTTCAGGAACAACGCAACCAACCAATTCCCATAACCAAAACACCAGCCGTAAGTAAGCGATTAACAATTACTGGAAAGTAGTGACAGCCAACGTTAGTGTGGAAAACAGTGCAACAACATAATTTGACAAAGGACATTCCAGTTTGGCATTCTGCTATCCCTGATTCTGAAGAAATCAAAAAATCTATTCATTATTTCAGAGAGTTGACACAGATCTGATAGATATCATTGTAAAGGAAAGTAATCTATACTGCTCACAGATGGACCCGAACAGTGCCCACAAGTCAGATGGAAATGAATTGGAACAGTTTAGTGTATTGTAATGTTTGCATTTGCCCCGTTCCCGAATGTACTAGTCGTGTAAATGAATAACACAGGTGGCGAAAGTGACGGGTTGAGACAAAAGGGAACAATGAAAGTATTTTTCCATTTCAATGATAACACTAAGGTGGCAACTAACAATGAAGAACAAGTTTTCAAACGCAGACCAATCATGCTCTGTTACTAAAGTTTCAGTCTCTCTCAAGACCAAATTTTGTCCATTGATGAGGAAATGTTCTCATTCACAGGTAGGTCCAGCCTGAAGCAATACATACCCATGAAATCACACGAATGCGGATAAAAGATGTTTGTGCTTTACGATGCGAAAAGGCTTGTGCATTCGTTTGAGATATTCACAGAGAAAATTGTTCCTGTTGCTAGAGAACCAGACATGGGTGCAAGTGGAAACGTTGTTCTGCAACTTGCAAAAGTTATCCATACCAATGTCAACACTTTACTATAATTTGATAACTGGTTTTCCTCACTGTAGTTATCCGTTGCTGTTGCTAACAAGGACCTACTAGCCTTTGGGACAATACAGCAAAATCGGCTACAAGGTTGCAGTTTCAGCAAGGACACTGAGATGAAGAAGAAGCGACGACCGACGTTTGCAGAAAAGACAGTAATGGTTGACAGTGTGGAAGCAAGTGTTGTCAAGTGGTTTGACAACGCATCAGTTCTTGTTACCAGTACTTCTGCCAGTGCTCAAGAAGTTTGCAATATCCAAAGTTGGGACAGAACATTGAAAGTAGAAGTATCTGTGGAGTGTCCAAGCGTCATAACACTGTATACTGATTTATTTAGCGGCGTTGATGTTCTGGGTGCATTCATTGCATAGTAACGGATCAAAAACAGATCCAGAAAATACCACTACAGGTTTTTCCATTTTGTCAACATAGTACTAGTCAACAGATGGTTACTCTATCGACGTGATTGCGACTCGCTGGCCGTACCACTAAAGGAACACAAAGACTTGCTTGATTTCCGATTATCTGTTGCTCAGTCACTCCTCATGCAAGACAAAGACATGTCAAAGGGGAAGAGGAAGCGGCCTTCATCAACACTTGAAAGGGAGCACAAAAGGAAGCAACGTGGTGGCCCAGCTAAGGAAGTTCCATCACTGGAAGTCCGGTCAGACTCTGTGGGCCACTGGCCAGTGATTGATAGTGCACGGCAAGCACCTAAATCGTAAGGGCAAGATAGTGATCAGGTGCACAAAGTGCAGTGCTCACCTGTGCCTCAGCAAAAAGAAAAACTGCTTCAGAGAATTTCACGAGTAACAATTTCTCTCTATTTGACTTTTCCTGATGGTTACGGC